ACCACCACCCAGCAGCAGTAGAGATACACACGACCCACCACCACCCAGCAGCAGTACATACAACGACCCACCACCACCCAGCAGCAGTAGAGACACGACTCCACCACTCACCCAGCAGCAGTAGATACACGACCCACCACCACCCAGCAGCAGTAGAGACACACGACCCACCACCACCCAGCAGCAGTAGATACACGACCCACCACCAACCAGCAGCAGTAGACACAATGACCCACCACGAACACGACCCACACCAGCACACACCACCACCCAGCAGCAGTAGACACACGACCCACCACCACCCAGCAGCAGTAGACACACACCCAGCACACCACCACCGCAGCAGCAGTAGACACGACCCACCACCACCAGCAGCAGTAGACGACCCACCACCCAGCAGCAGTAGACACACGACCCACCACCACCCAGCAGCAGTGACACGACCCACCACCACCCAGCAGCAGTGCACACCACCACCCAGCCACCACCACCCAGCGTAGATCACGACCCACCACCCCAGCAGCAGTAGACACACGACCCACCACCACCCAGCAGCAGTAGACCACGACCCACCACCACCCAGCAGCAGTAGACACACGACCCACCACCACCCAGCAGCAGTAGAACACACGACCCACCACCCAGCAGCAGTGACACGACCCACCACCCAGCAGCAGTAGACACGACCCACCACCACCCAGCAGCAGTAGACACACGACCCACCACCACCCAGCAGCAGTAGACACGACCCACCACCACCCAGCAGCAGTAGACACACGACCCACCACCACCCAGCAGCAGTAGACACGACCCACCACCACCCAGCAGCAGTAGACACGACCACCACCACCCAGCAGTAGACACACGACCCACCACCACCCAGCAGCAGTAGACACGACCACCACCCAGCAGCAGTAGACACGACCCACCACCACCCAGCAGCAGTGAACCGACCCACCACCCAGCAGCAGTAGACACACGACCACCACCACCCAGCAGCAGTAGACCACACCCAGACCACGACCCACACCACCAGCAGTAGAACACGACCACCACCACCACCCAGCAGCAGTAGACACGACCCACCACCACCCAGCAGCAGTAGACACACGACCCACCACCACCCAGCAGCAGTAGATACACGACCCACCACCACCCAGCAGCAGTAGACACACGACCCACCACCACCCAGCAGCAGTAGACACGACCCACACCCGCAGCAGTAGATCGACCCACCACCACCCAGCAGCAGTAGACACGACCCACCACCACCCAGCAGCAGTAGACACACGACCCACACCCAGCAGCGAACACGACCCCGACCCATCACCACCCAGCAGCAGTAGACACGACCCACCACCACCCAGCAGCAGTAGACACGACCCACCACCACCCAGCAGCAGTAGACGCGACCCATCACCACCAGCAGCAGTAGACACGCGACCCACCACCACCCAGCAGCAGTAGACACACGACCCATCACCACCCAACGGCAGTGAATGCGACCAGCCACCACCCAGCAGCAGTAGACACACGTTACATCACACCACCCAGCGGCAGTAGACGCACGACCACCACCACCACCCAGCGGCGGTAGATGCGACCACCACCACCCAGCATGAATGCACGACCCACCACCGGCAGCGAATGCACGACCCATCACCACCCAGCAGCAGTAGACGCGACCCACCACCGCAGCAGCAGTAGACACGACCCACCACCACCCAGCAGCAGTAGATGCGACCCATCACCACCCAGCAGCAGTAGACACGACCCACCACCACCCAGCAGCGGTAGACACACGACCCACCACCGCAGCTGACAGTGTACGACCCACCACCACCCAGCAGTAGATACGACCCATCACCACCAGCAGCAGTGAACACACGACCACCACCACCCAGCAGCAGTAGACGCGACCACACCAGCAGCAGTAGACGCGACCCACCACCACCCAGCAACAGTGAAACACGACCCACCACCACCCAGCAGCGGTAGACACACGACCCACCACCGCCCCGGCAGCAGTAGACACACGACCCACCACCACCCAGCAGCAGTGGTACCACGACCCACCACCACCCAGCAGCAGTAGATGCACGACCCACCACCACCCAGCAACAGTGAACACACGACCCACCACCACCCAGCAGCAGTAGACACGACCCACCACCACCCAGCAGCAGTAGACACCGACCCACCACCACCCAGCAGCAGATACACGACACCACCATCCAGCAGCAGTAGACGACCCACCACCACCCAGCAGCAGTAGACACGACCCACCTTGGCGTGGGCACGACCCACCACCATCCAGCAGCAGTGAATTACGACCCACCACCACCCAGCAGCAGTAGACACACAACCCACCACCACCCAGCAACGGTAGACACCGACCCACCACCACCCAGCAGCAATGAATGCGATATCCACCACCCAGCAGCAGTAGACCCGCGACCCACCACCACCCAGCGGCAGTGAACACCGACCCACCACCGCAGCAGCAGTAGACACCACGACCCACCACCACCAGCAGCAGTAGACACGACCCACCACCACCCAGCAGCAGTAGACACCACGACCCACCACCACCCAGCAGCAGTAGATGCGACCCGACCACCCAGCAGTAGACACACGACCCACCACCACCCAGCAGCAGTAGACACCACGACCCACCACCACCCAGCAGCAGTAGACACACGACCCACCACCACCCAGCAGCAGTAGATGCACGACCCACCACCACCCAGCAGCAGTAGACACACAACCCACCACCACCCAGCAGCCAGTGAACACGACCCACCACCACCAGCAGCAGTAGATGCGACCCACCACCACCCAGCAGCAGTAACACCACGACCCACCACCACCCAGCAACGGTAGACACACGACCCACCACCACCCAGCAGTAGACACCACGACCCACCACCACCCAGCAGCAGTAGACACACGACCCACCACCACCCAGCAGCGAGTACGCCTGCGACCCACCACCACCCAGCAGCAGTAGACACACGACCCACCACCACCCAGCAGCAGTAGTTACGACCACCACCATCCAGCAGCGGTGAACGCATTACCACCCAGCAACGGTAGATACCACGACCCACCACCACCAGCAGCAGTAGACACACGACCCACCACAGCAGCGGCAGTGAACACACACGACCCACCACCATCCAGTAGCCGGTGCGACCCACCACCAGTAGCAGTAGACGCGATACCACCACCCAAGCGGCGGTAGACACACGACCCACCACGCCAGCAGTGAACGCGACCCACCACCCAGCAGCAGTAGACACGACCCTGCACCATCCAGCAACCAGTGAACACCGACCCACCACCCAGCAACGGTAGATACGACCCACCACCACCCAGCAACAGTAGACACACGACCCACCACCACCCAGCAGCAATGCGTACACGTCCACCACCACCCAGCAGCAGTAGACGCGACCCACCACCGCAGCAGCAGTAGACACGACCCACCACCACCCAGCAGCAGTACATGCGACCCACCACCACCCAGCAACGGCAGTAGACACACGACCACCACCGCAGCAGCAGTAGACACGACCCACCACCACCCAGCAGCAGTAGACACACGACCACCACCACCCAGCAGCGGTAGATGCGACCCACCACCACCAGCGGCAGTAGACGCGACCACCACAACCCAGCAGCAGTAGACGCGACCCACCACCATCAGCAGCAGTAGACACGACCCCACCGCAGTAACCGGTAGACACACGACCCACCACCACCCAGCAGCAGTAGACACACGACCCACCACCATCCAGCAGCAGTAGACACACGACCCACCACCACCCAGCAACAGTAGACACGACCCACCACCACCCATCAACGGTAGACACACGACCCACCACCACCCAGCAGCAGTAGATACACGACCCACACCCAGCAGCAGTAGATACGACCCACCACCACCCAGCAGCAGTAGACACACGACCCACCACCACCCAGCAGCAGTGAACACACGACCCACCACCACCCAGCAGCAGTAGACGCGACCCACCACCACCCAGCAGCAGTGAACACAGACCACCACCACCCAGCAGCAGTAGATACGACCCACCACCACCCAGCGGCAGTAGACACGACCCACCACCACCCAGCAGCAGTAGATACACGACCCACCACCGCAGCAGCAGTAGACACGACCAACCACCACCCAGCAGCAGTAGACACACGACCCCACCACCACCCAGCAGCAGTGAATGCACGACCAACCACCACCCAGCAGCAGTAGACACGACCCACCACCACCCAGCGAGCAGTAGATGCGACCAACCACCACCCAGCAGCAGTAGACGCGACCCACCACCACCCAGCAGCAGTAGATGCGACCACCACCACCCAGCAGCAGTAGACACACGACCAACCACCACCCAGCGGCAATGAACACACGACCCACCACCACCCAGCAGCAGTAGTGCACGACCAGCCACCACCCAGCAGCAGTGAATGCACACGGCCCACCACCACCCAGCAGCAGTAGACACGACCCACCACCACAGCAGCAATGAATGCACGACCCACCACCACCCAGCAAAAGGGGTGGTTAGGTTGGGGTAGGTTACGTTAGGTTAGATTAGGTTAGGTTAAGGAAGAAGAAGGGTTAGTTAGGTTAAGAGGGTTAGGTTAGGTTAGGTTAAGGAGAGAAGTTAGGTTAGGGTTGGTTAGGTTGCTAGGTTAGGTTAGGCTTAGGAAGGAAGTAGAAGTAGGTTAGTGAAGAAGTAGGTTAGGTTAGGTTAGGTTAGGTTAGGTTAGGTTAGGTTAGGTTAGGTTGGGTTAGGTTAGGTTGGTTAGGTTAGGTTAGGTTAGTTAAGTTAGGTTAGGTTAGGTTAGGTTAGGTTAGGTTGGGTTGTGTTGTTAGGTTAGTTGTGTTTGTGTTAGGTTGGGTTAGGTTAGGTTAGGTTAGGTTAGGTTAGGTTAGGTTAGGTTGTTCAGTCTTAATCATTTTCGGGGTGTAGATAATA